AAAATGTTGAGACGTACTCTGAATCTACACTGGACTGTTATGGACCTTGGTCTATCTACTTCTTCCCAACTACTTGATCTACTAATTTTCCCACAGAAACATTTGAAGTTAGCTCAGCGACACGCTAATAGCTAAAACATACTAATTGTATATCACTAAAATGTTAGCTATCAAGTCTACTGATCTAATATGCTTAGTGAATATCCTTACGATACTCACTCTCTATGTTACTGTAGACATCATGGTGTGGCTGAGGGATTACTGCATCTCGGAGCTCACTCACCCCTCTAGTCTACTTAGATATGGCCGCCGAAATTTTGCATCGGACACCATACCCCTGACTAACCAACCCCTTGTGAGTGTCAGGCCTAAGCCATAGTTAATCGGTTTTAAGGGCCTTCTACCCTACCTAAGGATATATTTAGATTGCATCTATACTTTCGATTCCACTAGCTTTTCTAATGGAACTCGGGTGTCCAAATCATTTATCGAAAACCAAACAATGCTAGTCTTATTTGTCCCCAATTATTTAATTTCTAAGTTTGAATAAACATCAATTATGTTCTCACTTGTAGTCTTATTTGATGATATAATGAAGTGTTGGGGTACCTCGTGTCTAAATCCCTAAAAAATTGACATTTCTGTCCAAAATAGACTGAAAGTATCGATACTAGCCAAAAGTATCGATATTCCTGCAAAAGTTTCAATACTTTATATAAGTACCGATACTTTTAAACATTTTATTCTGCCTAGTTTCTATACTTTCTGGGAGTTTCGAAACTATGACCCAAAATTTTGATATTCTTAAAAGAGTTTCGATACTATTTCCCAGAAAACATGATTTTGCCCATAAATGAAGAACAAGTATCGATACTAACCCTATAGTATCGATACTCTACCTGCAGAAGTCATAAAACAATCATGAAAAACTTTATTTTTCAATACCAAAGACCCTAGTGAGGTCCCCAAACATTCTTTAAAGTCTTATGTGATATTAAGGGAACATAAATAAGACTTATAAACATGCTAAAAACATTAAACATAAAATCTACCATATAAAGCTACTAAACAAACTTTATCTCAACTTTCTATCTAAAACTCCTTTCTATTGATTCTACAACTGGTATGAAAAAGCTAATAGTGTGTTACCTAGATTCTTTGGGTGCTAGAACACTTCTTAAATCAACTAGGGATCCACTCTTCCTTTTCCCTTGGCTTGAACTCTCTCTTCAACCTCTTTAACTAATCAATGCATAAAAATGGATTACTTACTTAACTAGGTGTTGGATAAAGCTTAGATACACTCCCTACAACTCAAACACTCTCCTAAAATGACTTAAAACACTTAATTTCTAAAAACCCATAAAAACTCATTTTTGAAAAACTAAGCCAAACCTTGAAATTAAGGGCTCTAATGGAAGCTTAGAAGATGAAGAATAGATTTCTTACCTTGATTGCTTCAATCTAGGCTTAGGTTTCCTTAGAGCTTGATCTTGGCTAAGTAGAAGAAATGAAGAAGAAGAAGAGTATGGAGAAGAAGAAAATGGGAAGATATTTTGGGGGAATGACTTACATGAAAAATAAGGGAGATAAGAGGCTTTTTAACAAACAAGTTACGGGTAAACTACACTTTTAGTCCTTCTCTCTTTAACTCATTTTAAAAACAGCAATATCCTTTAACTATTGGGCCAACCTAAGTCCAATACCCTTTTTGAACTGATCAACTATCCTAAGAGGTCTAATTGACTTGACTTACGGGTTTCAAGTTGACCGAAACTACTGACCCGAGTTTCGGGGCATTACAGTTTCAACTAGATTGAATCACTTACATAATAACATAATAAAGAAATAAAAAGGACAAATCAAGCAAGATGAACCAATTAAATCCCTACATTTCCGCCGCCCATTTGAGGAACGAGTATGCTCGGAATCAAAGCCGTGATGCCAAGAGTGAGTAGATAATGCTGGAAACCCAGTACAATTGCTTCCGCTGCATAAAATATTGAAAAACATAATACAAAGAGAAGGTTCAATCGATTCTAAATTTTGTTTTGAGATGGTTAAATTCTGCGTTTGGGTTCTGAAAGTAAAACCAGGGAACATTGCATGAAATCCGCCAACTGTCTAATTTAGTGATGGATAACAAAGAAACTGAATTCCAAACTAGATTCTGCGTAGATATGAGACGGATTTTACATACGCCATGGAGGAGGGCTGTAAATGCAATACTGAATTCCAGGCAATTGTTCTTTCACCGAGTGCGGTTGCGGCGCCTCAAACTCCACACCATTGTTACCGTTACCGCCATTTTGGGCCATATCTGCAAATGTGCAGGAAGCAAGGCATTGTTTAATAGGAATGAAAAATCCAAAAAAATAAAATTACAACAAAACGAATTGCATTGACTTAGATTAAGAAATGCAAGAATCTAAAGATCAAAACAAGCAGTAAAAAGATTTCATTCAAGAAAATGATTTGGGAACGACTTGACTGAAAGTCCACAAGTTGTCGCTCTGAAATGCAACTTCTATTGAAACAAAATTAAAGATTTTCATGAAACAAATTCAAATATTCACCTTCACCAAATTCGAGCTTTGTTTTTTTTTATATTTTTGAACTTCTCACAATACCTCAGATAGAATGATTTAAATATCACAATTATTTGCTTATGAAATTTTTAGTTTTGGAAAAAAATGGTTACAACCAATAAGTTTAATGCATTTAGTATTCAAATCATTTTAATTTGACTGTTAAAGTATATTTGAATTGGTTGTTCAATTATAACTATTCAAATCAATTGGCTTGCATACGAATTTTTTTTATTTGTCATAATTTTATTTTAAAATTAAAAAAATAAAAGTGATTAGCTGTCCTACCATCATAATATAAACGACAAAAATATTCATTAGCTCCAAACATTTTCATAAATGGTATTTATAGGACAAATAATTGTATGAAGGTTAAAATTTTCCCATAAAAGTATAATACGAAATTTAATTAATTTTTAATATAAATTTTAAAAAAAAAATTGTATTTTTTAAATATAACCACAAATATTTGATTTATTGATGGATTGACCTTAATAGAATATTGTGGAGGTTCATTTCGAGAGTGAACTTCTTAATCTCACATTTTAACTTGCTCAATTCACAACATTAAAATTTAAACATTGGACCTTGTTGTAAGAATTATCGTCTCATTCTGCTATATCAATTAATAGTCAAAATAAAAACATATAAATAGTAAAAAAAATTCAATTATGTATTTTTTTATATTACAAATATTTAATTAATATCAATATGGAATTTTATCTTTAGACCATCTTTCTTCTCAATTATAAAACATTAAGAATGATTTAAAATCTCAATTCTTTGCTTATGAAATTTCAAATTTCGTCAGTTTACGGGAGAAAATGGTTAGAACCAATGAATTAAATGTTTGTAGATTATAAATATTCAATTCAAATCATTCTAATTTTTCTGTCTACAATTTGTTCATTCGTCTAGGTTGCAGAATTGCTTAGCAACACATCTGACTAAGGTTGGTGTAAAGAGGAAGGTTCCGTTTAAAGCTTGATGGTAGATTTTGTTTTGAGCTTTGTTTGCTTTGCTATTTGTTTTTAAGTTTCCTTCTTTTCTTTAATCTTAAATGGAGAAAAAAATGCTCCGGACCTAAATGAATCAAAAAGAAGAGTTCGAACGATAAGGATCAATACAATCTCACAAGACCCGGATATTATAGACATACCACAACCATGAAACCATGAGCATACCAATCAACTCATACCGAATCATGGTGCCAAACATGAGCACATAACCACACCTGGCAGCAAACCATGAGAAGACCTAACAAAAAGAAAAAGAGCCGATAACAATATGTTAAAGAAGAGAAGAGCTAGCATGGGAGAAAAGAGGCTGTCAAGTTAGCCAAAACTGGGTCAGCAGTGCAGCCATGAGATGAGAAGGGTTGTAGGCAAGTCATACTTGGCTATTAAACAAGCCTCTGATTCCTCATATTAGACCTCTCTTCCTTTTAAATCTCAAATCCCTATTGGTATGCAAATGTCCTTCATCTCAGCTCTCTATTTATAGTGTTATGGAAGTTTTGACTCTGGTATGTGACCTGGGTTGACGTTATTTTCCTCGTCTAAGAATAGATTCTGTTCCATGCATGGTGTTTTGGCTTTTGAGCTTAACAATGGTGAAAGAATTTTTGTAAAGAATATATAGTTTCTTCAAAAGGAATGTCCATAACATTATTTCCATATGACACTAAGATGAGAAAGCATCAAAGCAAATTGGGACTAGACTTTCCATTTTGAAAATAAAGATTATGCTTCAAAGATCTCCAACTTTGTTGATATTATATTCATGTGCAAAACCAAATATGAAATGGATTGAAGAATCATTGAAAAAATCTTGGATTGTTGATGGAAAATGTATATATATACTTATTTCCATCAAGGATATATACCGATTATACACTACTAGTATTAAGTAGTCCAGTTCTCTAATTTCCTTCATTTTAATTCAAAAGAAAAAAAAAACTATGGAAGACTTTGTTAGGAGTATAAATATACCATAACGCCAATGTGATCTGGTTTCAGGCTAGCTATAATATATTTCTTTACTTCTTTTTCCCGGATAGGCTGTTTCTATAAACCACCCAAATACATATTATTTTTAGGCCGTTTGCAGTGCTAAATTTACAGCGCTAGCAGTAAGAAAGTTGATGACAACTCATTTTTTTTCTCTCATTTCTACTAATCGAATGGATTTCCCCATCCCCTTAGTTAAAGGCGCCGCTCCAAAGTAGCCATCAACCTCCCTCTCGCCACTATCTTTCACTTTCTGCTGAAATCAACCTTTCCATTTCGTCAGACTCGCATGATGGAGCCGATCTCAAACTGTGGGCTATATCCATATATATATATGCATTTGTCTCGGTGCTTTGAGTTGAGGTTTTAGGTTTCCAGTAGCGGTGAAAATCCATTGCTAAATATGACTTCAAATATATCTCAGCTGCTTGAGATTGCAATATTTGTGCTCGGATTTTATTCAATGAATTCTGACTTAGCAGCATGTTCTAACTTTAGTGAAGTCTTTGACTTCAAGTGGGCTCCCCATCATATTATCTCAGAAGGAGACCAGATAAAGTTAATTCTGGACAATATTTCAGGTAAAGTCGAGCTATTCAGCTTCTATATATGTATATCTACTTTGGGTAATGAGTGTTTTCTCTATTGTTGTCATCAAATGGTGATTTGATTGGCTGTAGGTTGTGGATTTGAGTCTAAGAAGAAATATTTGTTTGGGCAAGCAAGAGTGCAGATCAAACTAATTGAAGGAGACTCGGCTGGAACCGTCACTGCCTTTTATGTAAAATTGTTACTGGGGCTGGCAATAGATCGGAGATGAGTCGGGTGGAGCTTCATCCGCCTCATCACCCGCGATCTAAATCTCCATCCACACCATCCATCATCCGCAAAAAATTTCATCCATATTAAGCTCAAATTCTTCTAACATTCATAGAAACCAAACATTAATACTCAAACATTCATAGAAACCAAAACATGAACAATAAATTTTTATCCATTTCAAACAAAAACAAAATGGAACACAGTTTATATAGTTTTGTGCACTATGTTTGTAATACATTTTTCAAGTGAATAGATGCAACATGTATAGTCTTGTACACTAAATATAATCTTCAAATATTCATCAACAAACTATCACTTCTCAAAAGTCCTCTCCATCCTAGTATCAATAGGGATAAGTCAATATTAAAAAATTAGACATATTTTCAATAGAATAAAAGTCAGAATTAAGAGAATAAGAATATTTACAATCACCCGTTTATTTTTTTAATATATATATATATATATATATATATAGATGGATATATTAATGTGTAAATGGATGTTGCGGGTGATGGGTCAAAAAAATTTCATCCATATCCGATCCGACCCATCACCTGATCCATCCATCAACCGTCAATCATCCGTTTCACAGCGGGTTTTCATCCATTTATTCGGGACGGATGTATAATCTACTCACCCATAGATAATTACCAGCCCTAATTGTTACGAGTAAATAAACAAAATGTTGGACAAATTTAACAATGGGGAAAATGCAGATGTTGTCGGAAGGGCCTAATCATGACGAACTGGACTTGGAGTTTCTCGGCAATGTATCGAGTGAGCCGTACCTTGTTCAAACTAATATTTACGTCAGTGGCACCGGCAATCGAGAGCAAAGGCATACTCTTTGGTTTGATCCCACACTTGATTTCCACACCAACTCTTTTTTCTGGAATCGCCATTGCATCGTGTGAGCAGGTCATCAAAAATGTTAAACTTAAGCTCGGAATCGAAGTTGTTTCTTGTATTTAGAACATCCTATTTCTCTCATTTAAACAGGTTTCTTGTTGATAGAATTCCCATACGGGTTTTCACTAACAAAGAAGAAAACGGTGTGCCGTTTCCAAGAAACCAATCAATGAGCATCCGAGGGTCGGTGTGGAATGCCGATGATTGGGCCACGCAAGGGGGGCGAGTGAAGACCAACTAGACCCATGCTCCCTTCGTCTCAACCTTTCGTTCTTTCATTAGCGATGCTTGTGAACTGTTGTCAGAAGCAGACGATACTTTGGCCCAACTCGGCCGGTTCTGGTGGGATAAGCCAGCTTTCGATGGGTTAAGCAGGCATAGGAGCCATCAACTTAAATGGGTCCGGAGAAGGCATTTGGTGTATGACTATTGTAAAGACACAGCCCGATTCACCGAGTTACCAAGGGAGTGTATCACTCGACATTAGTGCGATGTATGATGAGCAGCGTTTCACAAATTCTTAATAATATTAAATTAAACCCGAAACCAAAGTTTAGCTCCATTTTTGATGCAGCGGTTTTTAAGAGATGATATATTTTTAGTAGAACTTGAGCTCAAAACTCAAATTTTAAACTCGGGGAAATTTTAAAAGTGCTACATTTGTTGAAGAACTACACCCTCAATTGCTCACAAATTATGTGCTAGGAAGTTAACATCGAGTCTTTATTATTCATATTTTAATCTATAGGTTAACATCTAGGTTAGATAGTTGTTAATTTTTTAATAAAAAAATTACGAGTTTAAAATATATAAATAGTTTAATAATTATTTTATAATTTTTAACAGTAATCGACAACGCAACGTCATATAATCGAATAATATTTTTGTATTGTATCTTAAAAAGAAATCACCATTAGTCATGTGATTGGGCTCTTTAAAATTAAATTAAAAAAGTAAAATGGGTTAGTAGAGCCCAATAAAACCTTGAAATACGTGCTCGTTAATTTTCAGTATTGGGCCGTCCTTCTACCTCTGTAGTTTTCTCTTTTTTTCCTTATACATTTCGAGGGAAGAAAAATCCTCGGAAGCACTTGATACAACGGAGTTCTATTCCGTAGGTGATAATCAACATAAGAAGGGACAACATTTCCGTTTCAATGTCAGGCTTTCCTGTAAGTGGGATTATGTTGATTTTAAGTTTCCACCTTTTTTTTGCTATGATTATTTGGGGTTTTAAGGTTTTCTTGTCTTCTTTTAAACAGAGTATGTCAATTGTTTCGTAATCTGGAGTATAAATTGTTGATTTTGAGATCTTATTTTGTTTAATGAATTTTCCAAGAAAGACATTTGGTTTGGGCTTTTTCTTGCTTTGTTTTGAGCATCAATGATTTATTGAGTTTGTTGGTTTGCGGGATTTAATTTCACAAGGTTTGAAGATTGGGGGAAAGAATTTATTGCTGCGATTCTAGAGTTGATTATTTTAACTGGGCTGCCTATGAATTTTAATATCTGGGTTACTTATTGGTTATCAAACAAGTATTGCAATTCATCATCCTTATGTTGTAGCATTGGTTGAGCATAGCCTATGCGGATTTTGCTCTAGGAAACTGAAACACAGCTCGAACAAATTGAGGACTTGAGGGCCTAACTTCAAGGACTCGAAAATTGTTATATACTGCAATTAAAGCAGAATGCATCGTTATAGTCTATTACTAGTTTCCAGGCGCTGAACCATTTTTCTCGTGTACTAATAGCTGTTTGATCCCTTTTTCTATGCTTTGTGAGTTTAGTTTTCAGGAATACGGATTAGTATCTAGGGCATGGGGAAATCTGCTGCTGATGAAATTATTCTCGGTTACAATGACGTTGTTCTTAGAAGATCGGACTTGGAAATCCTTGGTGGTCCATATTATCTGAATGATAGAATCATAGAGTTCTATTTTAGTCTCCTATCTTCAAGCCACCCTTCACAGGACATCCTATTGGTTTCACCAATGATTGCTTTCTGGATAACCAACTGTCCCGATGTTGATGGTCTCAATGATTTTTTGGAACCCCTTAAATTGCCAGTTAAGAACCTCGTGCTTTTTCCGGTCAATATTAACGATGATGTGAGCTTAGCCGAAGGTGGAAGTCACTGGAGTTTACTTGCACATTACCGAAGTGCTAATGTCTTTGTGCATCACGATAGCAGTCAGCAGATGAATAAGAGGCATGCCATGAAGCTGTATAAATCCGTAGTCGGTTTTATCAGCGGTTCCAGTTAAGCTGGTAACGACAAGTATCTAGAATGCATTGACACGCCTCAGGAAGTTAACGGTTATGATTGTGGCTCATATGTAACGGCTACCGCGAGAACTATATGCTCCTGGTATGAAAGTAGTGAAAGCAAAAATGATGAAGGATTTGTGGTTTTCTGCTGTAAATGAGCAGGTTACTCCATTGGTGGTCGGTGAGCTGAGAAAAGAGATATTGAGGATGATCGAAGATCTGATGGCCAAGATGAGAGATTCTGAATCACAATTTAAGACTGAAGGATGGGGTCGGGTTGAATCGAGTTGAGTGTGCAAGCAGATGAAGTTGTTCTTCCATTTCATGGATCTTGTATGAATTTCCTGGGACTTGATCTGTTTTATGGATAGCAACTTAAAACAGGCAATGTATCAGTAATTTCCTTTCCTTTCTTCCCCTTTTATTCTATTTTTAAATGAAAACTATTTATTCTCGAACACTGTCGTTGAACCACAAAACGCCACATCATTAATGAGTAAAACAAAAATACATGATCGATTAGAAAAATGTTTATTCCACTGGCGCTAGACAACATGATACCTCTGCATGGGATATGTATAGTCATAAAAGAGGCGGCAATAATCTGACAGACAAGTCCATCAGAAAATAAAATGTAGAAGAACCAGTCACATGAGGTTGAAACAAAAAGCAGCCACGCCCGTAGCTCTCGAACCCATATTGGTGGGGTTGGGTTTGCAGGTCCAGCTTCCATTTTGAACTCACAATTCCATGCCATTGCTATAACCCCACCCAGCCTTTGGGATCTGCTCTTGTGATTGGATTCGGTTTATTACACGTAAAGTTTTTAAGTCTTGATGGAATGTGTAAAGAGATCAACGTTATTTCTTGGTATTGAAGGAACTCTCGTGACGGTAGTGAAAATATTCGTAGAGGCTTCATTTACAAATTATAAAGAAACTCCTTTGGTTGGCATTCCGTATTACTTACTTCAGCCAGCCACGTGTCTGGTCTACTTCCAATTTGAGATTCTGTCATGTCGGACCCCACTCCTGACTCCTCCCACCGACCAATCTTTTTCTTAATATTTTCAATTTTTTGTTTTACTACAACTAACTAACTTTATAATTTAATAAATACAAATATACTGATTTTCTTATGGCTTAAGTTTCTAAGCTGATTTCAACATGTTCACACGCTGCTAACCTAACTATCACTTCATTCCAGCTACTCTTCTCGCTCGTGATTTCATTTATAAATAAAAAAAAAGAGCTACAATTTTATTATTATGCATAACAGTAGGTAGGGGTGTGCAGCGCCGGCCTTTGGGTATTTTTTTTGTCCGGATGAAATAAAAGAAATTGACTTCTAATTTTAAAAAATTATAAAAAATATATAGTATAAAATTGATATTATTTTTTTATTAAAATAAATAAATAATAATTAATTATCATCTCAAAAATATAAAAAAAATATTAAAGCACACAAAAATTTATATAAAACATTATCTTCGAACATTTTTTGATACAAAATCATAGCGTCAACATCAATATTTTTCAACATATTTTTTTCACAACATAACATAGGTAGCTCATTCAATCTTTCTTGTGACATTGTTAACCTCAAATGATTTTTCAACAATTTCAGCTTAGAAAAGCTTCTCTTAATTCATTATGAGAAAAATAAATAATCTGTAACTTATGAGAAAAAAATAATCTTTAACTTAGAAAAACACTTTCATTTTAGAAAATGAACACGCATGGCCATATGTGAACCCGCATGGCCAGTATTGACTATTTTTTGGGTTAAGTCGAAATAAAAAAAATAAGTCCATGATTCAAAAATAAAATATGTAATATAAAATTTATATTATAATTTTTTTATTTAATTAAACAAACAATAATTCAAAACAATGTCAAAAATATATTTAAGTATACAAATACATATAAAAACATTGCCTTCTAGCATTTCCTAATACATAATCATTGATTTTAGAGTAAAAATATTGTCTCGTGGAAAAGCATTTCTTAAATTAAGCATCATGTTTAAGCATTTCTTAATCCAATAGTTTATTTTGGAGTAACAAATCCATCCGTGGATGAAAACCGTTAGTCAACAAATTATCAATGCTCTAAAATACATATTTTCTTTCTAAAATGAAACATTAGGTACAAAATATTAAAAAAAAATCAAGTGACTATTTAGTCAAATCTAAGAGGTTTTTTATCTTAAAAAACGTTGAATTAAAATGATTCAAAAAAAGATTAAAATGATTATTTAATCGAACGTTAGAGATTTATTCGACATTATACCTTTTCTTTTTCATGGTGATTTGCTGCAAAATGCTTTTCCATTGGATCACATGGGTGATTCCCATATTACAAATAAATTTATCAGATTATATGTTTGAACAAAATCTTCTGATCATTTTCTGCTGATTAAATGGGTTGATGTATATAATTTTCAGTGAGAGCCAAAAACATATATGCTGAGCCGACAGAATATTATGGGCCCTGGGCGGGCGCCCCTCCTACCCCGGCCCTGGGCGTGTGCAAATCTGGGTACCCGGAACATCCGGGTTGGTGATTTCTCGGCCGTGTCCCAACTCGGATGTTGCGGGTACCCGATACCAGGTTTTTTATTTTTAAATTATTAATTTAAAAAAATACACAAATTTAAATGTTTGAAATTTTGAATTACATACTCTAACATTCAAACATAAAATTTAAAAGTTCGAAATACAAAATCTAATAATCCATAATATAAATATATATTATATTATATTATATATATATATATAATAAAAATATATAAACTAACCGGGTACTCGGGTAAACTGGGTACCCAAAAAACACAATTTTGTGACCCGGGCCTGACCCGGGAAATATCGGGCTGGGTACCCGACCCGATCGGGTCATTTTTTTAAAAAAATTACTTGATTTTTTAATATTCGGGTCGGCGGGTCAACCGAATCAGGTATTTTTACACACC